GAAATAAGGAGCAAACACCAGGCAACTTAAATGTTTCCCTTTATAGTAAAAAATACTTTAAATAAAGCATTGCAAGTATGTGCTAAGTTAATAAGGGATCATAAATGATTTCTACTGGAAAATACGAGATAAGAAGTGTCTCCTTGTGATCAGGGGCCTGACCTACGGCTGCAGTCCTACTCTAGAGTCACTTTCCTATTGTAATAAAGTAAACGTGTTGTTCCTTTAAAACACGCAAATCTCTAACAGCTGTGGGTAAGCTCGCTGGAAAAAGCCTGTCCATAAAAATGTTGAGCCAATTATAAATTACAAAAATGTGAAATATAAGGAAAAATATATTTTGTGTAAAACCATTCCCTTATTCCAGATTCCTCGTTACCGTTCCTTTTCCCTTCCTTTTTTAAAGCCAGCTCTTGCTAAGACTTGCGTGTTGAAAATGAACGCAGGTTCAGTAGGTCCTAGGTTGTTTATTCACAGGTACCTGAACGAACCCTTTGCATACATACTCTCCTTGTAAGTATATATTTTTAAACCTTCCTTTTAATAAGAGAACCACATAAAAGCTGAAGGGAAGAAATTGCCTTTTCCAGACACAGAATTAAGTTTCCTTTAACCTTACTTACTAAGGTGTGTGCTGGCACATAGCTCATTATGGGACCCACGTTTGAAAATCAGAGCCTTGAACAGCGTGCCAAATGAGCCATCACCCCTGACTTCCTGGGGAGGATAGATTCTAGGAAAACAGCCTGTTTTGGTTTGAGAAACCGTCACAAGCAAGTACTCTGAATTTTGTGCCTTTTGTTGTATCCTCTTTTCTGGCTGTTTTATTGGTTCCTCTGGGTTGGAAAATTTGTTTTATCCTGTATATTTATGTGTATGGAGTGCTATAAATATGGAAAGTAGACAGGTGTCTATGGATCAGGAGAGTACATGGTCATGATAAAAAGATGAGAGGGAAGGAGGTTATTTACATGTAAATATTGTACAAGAAATAACACATAACCTTAGAGTATCTTGTAGCGGGGGGATAGTGAAAGGATAGTGCATACTAAATTTTTCTGTCGTGTTTCGTTAAAATGCTTTACTACTTTAATAGGTACTTTTAATATTTAACATTTAAATCTGGCTGTAATTTTAATACTAGTCTTTATATTTAAATATTCTTCTATAACAGCCATTTAAACCCTTATTAACAAGCCCCTTGTTTTTCCCTTTCTTGCTAGACTGTGTGCGGTGGGAGTACAGGGAGGTATAAGTTCTTGCCTTCCAGGTGCTTTCAGTTAGTTGGAGACATAATCAAGTACTAATCTACAGCTAATATATGTAGGTCTTTACCACCTGCCGGGTACTGGGCCAAATGCTTTATGTGAATTCTTTGTTTAATCTTTAACAACCTCCTAAGGTCGATACTCTTATCTTCATTTTAAAGTTGAGAAGTGAGCCTTAGAGGAGTTTTTAAAATGTTGGCAAATCTCATACAGCTAGTAGGTGTCAGAATCGAGACGCTGACCCAGACTTTGCCACCTCTGGTCCTCAAAAACAAAGTTGGTTTTTTTTTGTTTGTTTCTGTTTTTTTAAGATTTTATTTATTTCTTTTAGAGAGTGAGCAGGAGCAGAGGAAGGGGGAGAGAATCTCAAGCAGATTCCGTGCTGAGTGCAGAGCCGGATGTGGGGCTGGATCGCGTGACTCTCTGATCAGACCTGAGCCAAAACCCGGAGTCGGTTGCTTAGCCGGCCGAGCCACCCAGACGCGCCTGGCCTTCGATTTTTTTTTTTTTTTTTAAGATTTTTATTTATTTATTTGACAGATAGAGATCACAAGTAGGTAGAGAGGCAGGCAGAGAGAGAGGAGGAAGCAGGCTCCCTGCTGAGCAGAGAGCCCGATGCGGGGCTCGATCCCAGGACCCTAAGATCATGACCTGAGCCAAAGGCAGAGTCTTAACCCACTGAGCCACCCAGGCGCCCCTGGCCTTCGATTTTTAACACTTGGTACTGCTGCTCTAATAGGCGTGGTGTGGTGACCTGCCGTTTCTCCTTATTTTTGTGAGTGAGGATTTTGGGTCAGGACGCTGAACCTTCACAACCTGTGGGAATTCCAGTTGCTCAGTCATCGTCACCTAGAAAACTGGCGGGAATGAGATCAGGACCGTGTCACTGTGCATGGGCAGGTGGCATCTGTACTATCTGTGTGGCCAGGGAGCAAGGACGCTGCGGGCCAGGATGGTCTCCAGAGCTCCCTCCAGCTCTCTCTCCAGCTCTCTGCCTTTGCGTATGCCGTGTTTTGTCATTAGGCCTGCCTCTTAGAATTTTCTCTTGTGAAAATAGCAAATGTGCCCTGCCTTCTTTGTTGAAATTTACAGTAAGAAGATGTGACAGGGGTGAAGTGGGGTTTTGTTAATTGCTTTTTTATATTACTTGAATTTATAAGACTTTTATCAATCACCTGTTCTGTACCAAGCCCTGGACATCAAGTATCACCAAGCCGTCCTGTGAGACCACAGTCCCCGTCTTTGATGTCCAGAGAATCTCACATCAGAAATCCGATTACCTGCACTTTCTCCTACTATCTCTTTATTGTTTATAATGAAAGCAAAAACGTCTGTTAATTGTAAAAACGCAATCAGGTAAACACTTTCACTGAGATTCAGGACTTAGCTGGGATTCGTGGCTCAGAAATTTTCAGGTTTTTCTTTCTGGACTTCATTTGCTGTGGATGAAACATTTCTGTCCTGGTTAGATTCATTCCTGGACTGTAAGTTTGTAGGGACTTGAGGGAAACCCTCCCTCCGTGCAAAGAATAATCATGAAGAAATTTCCAGTTCCACCCACTTATCCTATAACTGCCTTCCATGAGACAAGAACTGTGGGAACCTGAAATGAGAAACGCTGAAATAGCAGGCATCAAAGAGTTAGGAGAGCTGGTGTGTAGTCTGTGTGCTAAACCGGACGCCATCTACTGCTGGATTCCTGGGTGGGCCAGCCGTCACAGGTGACAGAGCTGGGGCAGGGTCAGGATGGCGTCACTAATTTCTGCAAATTGGTGAGAGAGTTGTCTGAGAAGCATGTCGCTCAAGCACTGGGAGCAGTTGTAGGGATCCCTCCCACTTCTGGCATGGCATTGCAAGAACTCCCATGTAAAGGAACCCTTTTCCTACGTTCTCATGAGTCTTTCCCAATATCTGAAAAAATACAAGAGATTAATAATAATTTCCCGATATCCTAAAAAAATACAAGAGATTAATAATAATCAGCTACCCTTTGACCCTTTATAGAGAAGTTTGAACTCTGCCTGCATGAGTTGTTTTGGAATTGACACTTCTTCATCCTAGGGCCAGGTCGGCACATTCCCCATTTGCTTTCTCTGAATCTCGTCCTTGGATAGATACCAGTGTTTTATTCCTCGTCCTGTTTGCCTTTTCCCCTTTGCCTTCTGCCTTTGATACGAAAGCTTTAGAGTGATGGACTCTTGTCTCAAATCCTTTGTAAATCTTTTCCTTCAAATAATCTGAGTACCTGCTCAAAGTCAGAATGACTCGTGGTGGGCCGTAGAGCTCTATTATCAGGTGAACATTTTATCACCCCCTTCTTAATATCTTGGCTGATTTTTATTAAACTGTGAATCCATAAATTGAGTGCTATAACTCCAGGGTTATTGATCATTGCTTTTCATATTGGCCTTTATTTTGAATCCTGGTAGTTTCTTAAATGCTTAATTTCTTAAATACATACTTACATTTCTTTCTAGAAAGAAAGAAAGAAAGGGACCCAAAGAGGTGATTCTTGGTCTGAGTTTAGAGAAATCTCTTATTGATGATATCAATACCCAAACAAATATATTCTCTTTTCCAAGGGAATATATTTTTATATACTTAAAAATGTACTTGCATTTTGCTTTGTACCATGGAGCTGATATGAATATATATAATATTTCAATAAGCAGAACAGTTTTCCTTAAAGTCTGGATTTTGAGGGTTAGGTCAAGAACTGACTCACATCTTACCGAATTTATACTGTGTTGTATGGATGAAATCATGCTGTGTGTGATGAACATCACTGTTCTAGAAAGGAAATAAGTCCCAAACAATGCAACAACACGAAGAGCAAGCACAATGAAATGGGGGTTGACTGGGAACAAGAACATTTGCCTTAGCTTTTTAAGCCCATGTGTTTAATGACAGCCTTGAGCTTTAAGCACTTAAATTTATTGAAGTACTTGTACAATTATTTTAGGAAAAGATCATATGATCTGTTGATAAGAGTACACACTTGAGACTATGAATCTTATTCCCAAAATTCAGTAGGCTTCGAATTATAAAACCATGGACTTTTCCATAGGAGAAGAAGAACCCAGACGTGGTCATTTACTGCTCCCGCCCCCCAATGCTGGAATCTCGTAAAAGTCAAAGAACTTGCTCTTCTGTTGACCCGATCCCTGTTTGGTGTGTGTGACACTGAACTCTCCCTAAATTAGTTTCCTTTTTATTTAATAATAGATGCTTGTCTGTGCCACAGGTATGTTGTTAGGTTGTGCTTACAATCCAATATATTCCAGTATTTTTGAATGAGGGAATTCAGCATTTATATTTTAAATGTTTCTACAGTGCTTTTAACTTTCTCTTATCAACTGTGTTCAGTCAGTCCATGATAAACTATTTCCAACTTATTTGGCTTTATTACACAATTATTTTACTCATTGATTTCTGAGAACTTTTTATGGTTTGGAACCAAATATAATATTATTACAACTATAAAAATAAATGTTCAAGGATTCTCTTATAAATGGTTGCTTTAGTGAAATTGTGTAGTATCTGTGTGTTTTTTCATACTAAATGTACTTGTGACAATATTCTGGTTCAAAAAATCCAATCCAACTTTTGAGGGCTTTTTCATTTTTGTGTTTTGGGAGGTTTCTTTCTTTAATTTTTTTTACTAAAAATACATATATATATATATATATATATTTATATATATATATATTTTTTTTTTTTTTTTTTTTGCAGCTGGTTTTAGGAGAAGTTTTCGTCTTAGTAGGAAAGATAAGAAAACAAATAAGTCCATGTATGAATGCAAGAAGAGTGACCAATATGACACCGCTGATGTGCCCACATATGAGGAAGTGACACCGTATCGGCGGCAAACGAATGAAAAATACCGGCTTGTAGTCCTGGTTGGTAAGTGTGCCTTTTGGGTTAATTCTGACGAAACAAGCGAGATAGGAAGAATTTAACTTCAAAGAATACGGTGCTTGAAGATTTCAAGCCAAAGAAAATCTTTTTTAAATTTTAAAATTTTTTAATTAACATATTATGTGTTATTAACCCCAGGGGTACAGGTCTGTGAATCGCCAGGTTTACACACTTCACAGCACTCACCATAGCACATATGTTCCCCAATGTCCATAACCCAACCATGCTGTCCCTACCCCCCCTCCCACTGGCAACCCTCAGTTTGTTTGGTGAGATTAAGAGTCTCTTATGGTTTGTCCCCTCCCAATCCCATCTTGTTTCAGTTTTTCCTTCCCTACCCCCCAAGCTCCCCACTTTGCCTCTCAACTTCCTCATATCAGGGAGATCATATGATACTTGTCTTTCTCTGATTGACTTATTTTGCTCAGCATAATACCTTCTAGTTTGATCCATGTTGTTAGCCTGTCTTCTTGAATGAGCTTTGGCAGTTTGTGTCTTTGAAAGAATTTGTCCATTTCATCTAAGTTGCCAATTGTATAAGCATAAAGTTGTTCACAATATTCTCTTATTATCCTTTAACTCTATGTAAGGTCTGTAGTAATGTCTCCACTTTCCTTCTTGTTATTGGTAATTTGTGTCTTCACTCTTAAATCAGGTGTGTATTGCTCCATAATAAGTTCTTAGAGTTCTTGTGTGGAATTATGTAGGATTCAAAGTTTAAGTCTTCATAATCTGCATATTCATAGCTTCAGTTTACTACAAACTTAGTGACTTTAAAATAGCACATACTTATTATTTGAAAGTTTCTGCAGGTCAGAATTTAGAGCATTCTGGCTTGATTTGGCTGGGTCCTCTGCTTTAGGATCTCTTATAAGGCTTCTCAAGTCTTGACCACAGGTAGGTGTCTCAGTTTGAATGTTAGACTGATAAAGGATCTACTTCGAGTAATCCACCCTCAGTTCCTTGTGATGTGGGCCTCTGCAGTGTGGTAGCTTGCTTCGTCAGAGTGTATAAACTGAGAAGGCAAAAGAACAGAACATCCAATATTCTGTTGGTTAGAAGCAAATCACAGATTTTACTCACAATCAAGGAGAGTGAATTGCACAAAGGTGTAAAAAGCAGGAGGGTGGGGATCACTGCTGGCCTTCGTAGAGTCTACCTGCCTTTTTCTAAATTTATTGATCTTTTATAAGACCACTTGTATATTGAAATTGTTTTTTTTTCTTTTCTCAATTTTGCTGATTTGTGTTCTTTATTATTTCCTCCTTCTGCTTACTTTGGACTTATTTTTATTTTTTTCTAGTTTTATAAAGTTAAATCTTAGACTATTGACTAGAAACACTTTTTTTAAAAAAAATCTAAGTGTTATTAGGCATAAATTTAAGTTTCCCTCTAAGCATTGCAACCTACAAATTTTGATCTGTTGTATCTTTATACCATTTCACTCAAATCAGCATACTTTCTAATTCCCTTTGTGATTTCTTTGATCCTCAAGTTGTTTAGAGTATGTTATTTAATTTCCAAATACTTATCCAAATATCTTTCTGTTATTGATTTCTTGCTTAATTTCATTATGATCAGACAATATGCTTTGTATGATTTCAATTCTTTTAAATGTATCAGATTGTTGTTTGTTACTTTGTTTTTTGACCAGGACATGGTCCATGTCATTGGGTGTTCTGTGTGCACTTAAAAAGAATGTGTAGTCTGCTGTTATTGAATGGAGTGTTTGGTGTATGTTATTTAAGTCAAGTTGGTTGATGATGCTATTTAGTCTTCCATATTCTTACTAATTTTTTGTCCACTTATTCTGTTAATTGTTGGGAGAGGAGTGTTAAATTCTCTGTCATTGTAGATTTGTCTGTTTCTCTTTTCACATCAGTTAGCTTTTAAGACATTTAGAAACTCTGTTGTTGAGTATATGTACATTTGGGAGTATTATGTTTTCTTAATGAGTTGACCTTATTATGTGATGTCCTCTTTTATCCCTGGTAATATTCATTGTTCTGAAGTCTGCTTTGTGTGATATATAACATAGCCACTAAGTTTTCCTTTGCTTATTGTTTGCATGATACATCTTTTCCTGTCCTTTTACTTTAACCCATCTATATGTTTATTATTAAAGTGGGGTTGTTTGTTTTTTACAGATAGCATAGTCTTGGGTCTTGTTGTAGTTGTCTAATAATCTACATCTTTAATTGGTATGTTTGGACCATTTAATATAAACTATTGATATGGTTGAATTTAGGTCTATTATTTTTATTTTAGGCCTACTATTTGTTTTGTGTTTGTCCCTTTGTATTTTGTTTGTTTCTCTGTTCTTTCCTGCCTTCTTTTGGTATCTGTTTTCTTATTTGATTTTTGATATATCTGATGACTTTTTTGCTTTACCTCTGAATGTAATTACTCTCTAATTGATTTTGAGGGTTTTTTTAATCTTTGATTTTCAGAAGTTGGATTATGATGTATCTATTTGTGCTTTGAGTTTAATGTGCCTGGGTTTACTGAACATCTCAAATCTAAACATTTATGACTTTCACCAAATTTTGGAAACTTTTGGCCGTAATTTTTTCAAAGATTTTTTTTTTTTGCCCTAATCTCTTTCCCCTCCACTTCTGGGACTCTGGTAGCACATGTGTTAGACCCTTTAGTATTGTCTCACAGGATCCTAAGGCTCTGATTTTTGTTTTTTTAGTGGTTTTGCTTTTCAAATTTGACAGTTTCTTTTGATCTGTCTTCAAGATCTCTGACTCTTTCCTTCATCATCACTGTGTTGCTCTCTTTCCTGCTGGCCAAATAATTATCTTTCAGATATTATATATTTTTTCTATTGTGAAATTGCCAACTTTTTTCATTGTTTTTGTTTATCAAGTTCAAGTAAGAGCTTGATTTTTACATTCATTTCAAGTGTGTTTAGTTTTGCCTCATGAAGCTTAGTTAAGACAACTATTGTGTTGGGTCCCCCAGTAATGAGTCCACGATCAAAGGAGCGAGACTGACACAAAGTGAAGGTCAAGCAAAGCTTTATTTCACGCCAAGCATCGAGAATCAAACTGACCAGCCAGGGCTGTCTCTTGCAAAGAGGCGACAACTCTCTGCGTTACGGACTAGCTTTTAAGGGCAAAGGCCATGTGGTTGGGCCTGGCCACACACAGGTGGCCAATGAGATTGTAACACAGAGAAAGCTGCACAGTCCTGCTAGGTCACACATAAGTGACCAATTAAATTACAGTTTACCCTATAGTAGATATTTGAACTAGCCTATCACCTTGGTCAGAATTGGCACCCAAAGGGCGGGGCCCATACTCCTTGGTAGCTAGGGAGACAGTATGCGCCCCCACTGATTGGCTACCTCCACCTGGCCTGACCCACCCTTTTATTTGGGCTTTGTTACCTGGGACTGGTTTCTGGGACTTGTTTTTAAGTAAGTTCCCGGAGGGGGGGGCGGGGCGGGGCAGGGTCAGGGTGGAGCTGCTGTGGCTAAATAGGCCCTTACACTTGTTTATCCAATGTAATTCCAGTGTTAGGCTTATCTTGTGGTTGCATCTATCGATTTATTTTATTTTTATTTTTTTTAGAATCCATCATCTGTGTATGTTGAATAACTTTGTTCTGTATCCTAGACATTTTGAACATTACTTTGTATAGACTTTGGATCTTACTATATTCCTCTGGAAAAATGTTCCATTTTTTAGCAGACTGTCAGCCTGATTAGGCTTATTCTGTTTGCCTTAGTTCAGTTTTCAAGTCTTTGCTGTGCTGCTTTGAGTGTATTTCTTGCATGTGGCATTTGTGTCAGTCAGACACTTACACAGTGGTTTTGATCTTAGTTATGCTGTTTTGGGTTCGTCTCACGTATGAACATCTTAGGAGTGAGCCCACCACTTTTGTGGGGTCTTAGCACAGTCCACTGCCATCTCTGAATGGATAGTCCTCCTCCGGCAAAGCCTAAGAACAAAGAAAGAGAAACAGGGAAACTTCATCACTTTGGGGGTCATCTCTCCACATCTGACATCCTTTTATACTCTGCCTGCGTTCATTTGCTTTTTCAGAGTCTGCACATTTTTGTGTTGCTTTTTGTGTGCTGGCCAGAGGTTTTAATTGTGATCAGTGTGGGAGACAGGCTGTAGTGTGCTTATCCCACCAGAGTGGAGCTAGACCTCCTCAAAGCTTTAAACTCCTGTCCCAGATACAATTTGCCCTTCGTCTCTGGTATATCTTAATCAGCCTTCTCAAAATTGAGTGCTGTTACCCTGACTCTCGTGTCTCCTGCTCAGAGTTTTAAAGGGTTATCAGGACAGAATACCACAGCACCTTCTAGACTACCTTTTAGTAAAATCACGCTCCTGAAAATATGTATCACAGCATTCCATTCCACAGCCCCAAGTCACAGGTGATCTCAGGTATTTTGGCTGCGACTTTCCATAAATGCTTGTTGTTTGGGCCCACAGTCACTGAACTAAAATTCACCTGGCTGAAATCTTCAGTGAAGAGGTTAATTTAATTGTATGCGTTTAAGTTGCCCTAAATCCCGTTTGCCCGTTGATCTTTGGGTTCCTGGCACCTGATGGTGGATTGAATATGGACTCTGTCCTGTGGGCCTCATGCCTTACTTTCTGACATTCTGCTGCTTGCACTTCTCACTGTAATTTTACATTCCCAGCAGGATCCTGTAGCCTTTTTTTTTTTTTTTTTTTTTTTAAGCCCTGTGATGTCACTCATACTGCAGTGACTGTTCTTTCTCTGTCTCCTGCTTGGAATTCCTTAAGTTTCTGAGGCCTGGTTCTCAGCAGAGATTTTACCCTTTATCTCCCAGAAGGAGGGTTGCCCTCAAGATATTCCTAAACTGGAGATGCTGAATGTTGACCCTTCCGTTACAGCCAGTGAAGATTCCCAGTTTCTCTGCGATGAGCTTCTCCCCCACTCATGTTTCCTTACTCTTTGGAGTTTTCCAACCTTAAGTAAATAATTGCATTATTTCAATG